TCCGCCATTGTTTCACCGCCGGAGCAGATGTAGACAAGAATGACTCCTAAGCGATTGAGGTGTTCTGTTGTTGGATGTAATAATGAACAGCAGTCATCATTTACACCAGACATCTGAGCCGCTGAAGACACAGTGGATTAAATTTATGCGCCCCCGATCTACATAAATGCGTCTATGTTCGAGCAAATCATTCGTGATCCAGCTTCACCAACAGAAGACGTGAGTGTAAGGTCTTTTAATGAATCTTTGCAAATCGCCTTTCCTAATAATGTGCTAATTAGCAAGTTTCACGATGAATGCGGCTAAAGTCTCTCTGAGAGCAGTTCGGAAGAAAGGGGCGGGGTCAGCAGAGCTCATTAACATTTAAAGTATAATGCTACAAAACTGCGTGCTCTGAAAAGAGCTGTTTTTGACAGGGTAAAAAATGTGTTTTTTACACTACCATCGAGAAATTTTAACCAAACTATGTTTCAGACTTTTCATTAAGACCCTAAAGAATCATATCAACTTGTGGAAATTGGGCATCCGATGACCCCTTTAATATTTAAAAGGACTTGAACTAAAGTCTTATTCATTCCATGCATTCTGAGAAAACCCTGACTTACTGTTCGCTGCCGTAGCCTTCAGGAACCAGACCGACAGACACACACACCACGACCAGAGCAACCACATATCCAATCACACACAGGAATCCACTGCTAAGCACCTCCTTCTTTTTGGAGCGGATCTGTGATAAGTTCTTCACACAGATGAAGAGCAGCACAGCTTCAATGAACATCCACACAAAGCCGGAGAGAAAGAGGAAGTGCAGAAGACCTGAGATCATGGCACACAACACCTGGAGACCATGAGAGACGGTTATAATGATTCTCAGTGAGGCTGTGCTGAGCTGTAGGGCTCCTTCATCATTCTCACCTGCTGACGCCGTATGAGGCTCAGGAACTGCTGTGTGAGTAGGAACAGAAGGTGAGCCAACAGAAGACTGACGCAGATGTTGATTCGAGCCACATTATTCACTCCAGGACTCCACTGACAAAGGGCAAAGGTCAACATGGCCAAACTGAAGAACACCAGCCCCACGATCACACACACCAAATTCAACAGCTCCAGCAGCGAGTCGCTCTGAAAAAACATGTGAGAGTACATGAGTGCCAAATCTGCGCTGTTCTTCAGTGTTTACACTAAATGCTCTCGTACCACAGGCGGGCGGATGGTTTGCATGATGAGAGCGAATGTCGACAGATGATCACAGGAACACACAGTATAGCTGCTGTTGGTCTTCAAAACAGAACAACCATCTACAATCCACTCGCTGATATTCCAGTACACACAGGACAGAGAACTGCTGGGATCAAACTCCTGCAAAAAGAAGAAGAAGATATTAAAACACTGAATATTAGAGTCAGGGAAAACAGAGGACCTGAGAGCAAAGCTAGATGACATACATGACAGGACTTGGACTAGACTTGACTTTAACTGTACTAAACAGTCTTAGGCTCGTTACTGCAAAGACGTCATTTATTACTCGTTACTTCAAAAGGGTTACACTTTATTTTAAGGTGTCCTTGTTACAGTGTAACTATACATTTAAGTACTGAGTAATATTAATTAGATACATGTACTTACTATAGGGTTAGGATTACTTGCATGTAATTATGCATAATTAATTATTATAATAGTAAGTACATGTAACATGTGTAACAAGGTCACCTTAAAATAAAGTGTTACCTTCAAAAGTAATGTTGCGACATGTCAGAAGGGTTTGGATCCATTTGCAGTTTTATTAAGAATAGTCAGACAATACAGGGTCAAATACCGACAGGGCAGAACAGCAGAGACAGAATCATGAATCAGGTGAGAGATCGGGGCACGCGGCTAGTAAACAGAGTCCAGGTGAAACAATCCAAGTCGGGGCAGGCAGATAACAATCAGAGAATCAGGAAACAGTCCAAGATCAGATGCACAGAAAACAAACACGGGTATAATGCTCGGAAATGACAGCCAGGGCAAATCAAGACTTCGCAAAGAGTCCGTGTAATGGTGTGGCTTATATGTGTGTGTGTGTGTGAGTGTGTAAATGAGGTGCAGGTGTGGTTGTGATATCAGTCCCAGGTATGAGGGATGATGGGAAATGGAGTCCGAATAGAAGATCACTAATATTCCGGGGACAGTTCCCTCTGGTGGTGCGGAGGAGGCGGTACGGGAGCCTCCTCTGTAACAGAGCCCTCCCCCTGCAAGCGGCTCCTGACGCGAGGAAGCAGGCGACGCCGGGGTCTTCCACGAGGTCGAGGGGCCGGTTTCTCCGGATGCGTCCTGTGAAACTCCTCCGTGAGAGTGGGGTCCAGGATATCTCCAGCTTTGACCCAAGACCGCTCCTCCGGACCGAACCCCTCCCAATCGACCAGATACTGGAGGGTGCCGCCCCGGCGTCTGGAGTCTAGCAACTCGTGCACTCGATACGCCTCCTCGCCGTCAACCAGGATAGGCAGGGGGGTCTGCGGCCTGGCTCCCTCCTCCGTCTCTCCTCTCGGACCACCAGCGGGTTTAAGCAGTGATACATGGAATGTGGGAGAAATACGATAATTAGAAGGCAGTTCTAAACGGAATGATACTGGAGTTATTTGTCTAGAAATTCTGAAGGGACCAACATACCTGGGACTGAGCTTTTTACATGGTAACCAGAGGCGGAGATCTTTACTCGAGAGCCATACCCATTGGCCTGGTGTGTACTCTGGACCGGGACGTCGAAGCCGGTTAGCTTGTTGTTCTTGTCGTCTGACAGCATGAAGTAGGTGGGTGTGAGCTCGGTCCCAGACCTCCTCGCTGTGTTGCAGCCAGTCTGTGACCGAGGGTAGGTCGGTGGGTTCACCAGACCAGGGAAACAATGGTGGTTGAAAACCCAG